GCCATCCTCCTGCCTCAGCCTCCCAAGCTGCTGGGATTACAGGCGTGCGCCACCACACTCAGCCCCTTGGATCATTTTGAAGTGAATGGATATCCATTGATGCACACTCACCCCTCCATMATGTCACTGGGCTGTGATTTATTTAACCAGTGGCACTGACAGGGTGCTCCTGAGCTTTTYACTCAYGTAAATAATMCTGCAATGAGCATCTTTGGTTAYGATCATTTTGTTAAGCATCATTTCCAGATGTGGAACTACTTAACTCTAGGACCTCACCTCTCCATCTGAGTCTTGGGAACATCTGAAAAGGTTAAATCATGACATTTATTCTAATTTCAAACTCAGACATTAGGAACTGGATTGGGAACGGGACATTCCTCCTGAGTCAGARGGAATACGACAGCGGGCTGCACAGCCCCCTTCCCACGGCCARCCAGCCATGCATAGAGATTCTGTGTGCTCCTCCAGCTCTTCCTGGCCCCCTGGAGAAGTGTCTCCTGGAATCCTCACCACTGTGTTCTCTGGCAGATTTTTGTGGTCAACAACCAGGAGGAACTCGAGAGGCTGAACACTCAGAACGCCATTGCCTTCCGCAGAGACCAGAGATCTCTGTACTTCAAGGACAGCCTTGGCTGGCTTCCCATCCAGGTACCCCAAAGCAGACCCCTCAGGACACCCCCAACTCAGGACAGCTAAAACATCCATTAAAGGAAGGGTCTGGACAGAGCTCCTGCAGTCTGTCTCCACGACAGACCTTCCCTGAGCACCTCTGTGAGGCAAGAGCCCCCAACCCTGTCCAGTCCCTGTACCCCCCAGAATGCTACCTCATTAGACCTGCCAGAGTTCAGGGCAAGCAACGGGAAGAGGACCTCCCCCACCTCCAGGAGGAAGCTAAGGGATGCCCCAGCCATGGTCCCCGGTGCACTGACCTCCCTGCCCGATGGCTGCCTGGGTGTGCCACCCCCCTGGTTAATGTTGTGTGTTCCTTTGGCCAGCTGACCCCTTTCTACCCTGTGGATTCCACTGTAGACCAGCATGGCACCTGTGGGGATGGGGTCCTGCAGCCTGGGGAGGAGTGTGACGACGGGAACCAGGACGAGGGTGACGACTGCATCCGTGAGTGGGGGCCCCGCCCAGGAGGACCTGAGACCAGGACAGCCATGGGGTGGGGGTCAAGGCCAGCCCTGGAGACTAGCTACAGCAGTTTGGGACAATTCTAGAGATAGAGAGGGTATGGATGGACCGCCTGGGGACCTCCCTCCTGATTTCAGGCCAAATATTGATTCTTCTGCTACCTGAGCTCAGTGTTATCAAGGTCTTGCTCCCAGAGAGGACTTCCTTGCCCCGGGCTTTCTCCCAATATTACTCCTTGGCAAAAAACACAAAAAGATAAAGGTACAGCTGGGCGTGGTGGTGCAGGTCTGGTATCCCAGCAGCTGGGGAGKCTGAGGCAGGAGGATCGTGAGTTCAAAGCCAGCCTCAGCAAAAGCGAGGCCCTAAGCAACTCAGTGAGACTCTGTCTCTAAATAAAATACAAAACAGGGCTGGAGATGGGGCTCAGTGGTTAAGCACCYCTGGGTTCAATCCTTGGTACCAAAAAATAAAAAAATAAAATAAAAATAAAGGTGGTGGTCTTTCACTTTGTATGCAGAAGTGAGAGGTCCTGGGGAGTCAGCCATGGGTTTAAAAGAGGATCCCTTGCCTGGGCAGAGCTCCAGTAGGAAACTGGGCCATCCAGAGCCACTGCCAGGTTTATGGGATGGCCCTGAGCTTGGGAACTCTAGGGTTTTTTAAATTTATTTATTTATTTCACTTTATTTTTAAAAATCAAGCAATAAAATCAGGGTGTGAGGTAGCTAGCATGGTTTTCCAAGGCAGAACAGAGTTTGAACGCAGGTTCGGATTGCCCCTGGGCTCAGAGAGGAGGCCACACTCAGTGATGGCGGGCCACGTGTGGCTGTCAGCTTCATTTCCTCTGCTGAGAGGGGCATATGGTGCTGACAGTTCAAACCTTAAGAGATTCTGTGAGTCGAGGTATGCGTGGGTTATCTGGATGCCGTAARCCTTCACTGAATCCCTTCATGACTTGGTTTGCTTGGGGACAGACCTGGGGCGTGAGGATGCAAAGTTGTGGTCCTGGCCCTCAGGAAGCTCAGGGGAGGGACGACAGCATAGAGTGGTGAAGGTGCACCCAGGGGTGGGTACAGAGGAGGGGAKGCTGCCAGTCTCTCCTTGTGGCTGCACTGTGTCCTGACAACCCCAGGATTTGCCTGGCATCCCTTCTGCCTCTGAACAGATTGGTTCTCAAGCCCTTGCAGTGCTCTGGGGGGACCTTTGAGGCAAGCCTGTCACACCCTGMCCCTTCTCAGGGCTGCACTTCCTGTGTCCCCTCAGGTTGTCACCGGGCCTACTGTGGAGATGGTCACCGGCACGAGGGCGTGGAGGACTGTGACGGCTCCGACTTTGGCTACCTGACATGCGAGACCTATCTCCCTGGGTAGGGAAGGCTTTACCGTGGTTTTGTTTGTTTTTACWGGAAATTGAACCCAGGGACACTTGGGACACTGAGCTACATCCCCCTAACCCCTTTTAATGTTTTATTTAGAGACAGTTGCTTAGGCCCTCACTAAGTTGCTGGGCCTGGCTTTGAATTTGCAATCCTCCTGCCTCAGCCTCCCGAGCTGCTGGGATTACAGGCCTGCACCTCCGCACCTGGCTTTATGTGCTGTTAAGACAACCTTCCTCCTGCCTCGACCTCCCCTCCTTCACCCACCTTTCCTTCACACATATTTTTTGAGTGCCTCTCATGTTTCTGGTCCTTTCTAGGCAYGGAGGTGGGGCAATGAATAACACAGCACATGGTCCCAACTCACCTGGAGCTTTCTGTTCATTGGGGAGACAGGCCATCAGCACCCAATGTGCCTGCTTCCTCTCAGTCAGAGCAGCCTGCAGGCCCCTGAAGCTGAGCCAGGGCGGACACAGTCACCAGCTCTATCCTGGGTCCAGAGGGAAGCAGAATCCCTAAGTCAGCTGGTAATCCCTGGTGGTTACCATGGCCACATGCATCTCCTGGGCAGTGGCCTTGGAGGGAAGCCCAAAGGAAGGTAGAAATGCCAGGGGATTTCCAAGCATCTACTTATCCATACAACCTAAATTCCCTGGAATAACCTGCCTTTGGAGGCAGGCCTTAGCACCCAAGTGAGATCAGGCCAACATTGATATCTAATTTTGCTAATTCATGGCACCTCCTAGAAAATATTCCCTTCAAGGACCCTAATCATTATTTCTGAGACTCTCCATCGGTTTTTCTCAACGCTCAGTACAAGTGYGTTAGTGTCTTGGCCTCTACGTTGACATCTCCCAAGCCACCTGAGGGCCACTGGCCCTGTGAGGTGCTGATTCCCTGTCCAGAATGTAGCCTTCTGGTGCAGAACCAGAGCTGTAGAAAKTTCTAGAGAAAATAGAGAGACCATTCCCTCCCACCCAATCCAYGTTCTGGTCTTCCCTGTGCTCCAGAGTGGATCCACTTGTTCCTTAGGTTTCTTAGATCCCTTATGAATCCGATCTCTTCAGCTTTTACCTCCAATCCTTTTCATCTAATAGGTTTGGACTCAGGCCCTCAGCAGGGCTGGGGAACAGACACCATGTCTGTCTCTCTATTGCCTCCGTTCTTCTCTCTTCCAAGGGGGTCTCCTCAACACCACCCTCCAAACACATACCAGCATAGTCAACCAGGTTAGCGGAATTACACACCTATAGTCACCCCGAATCTGCAAGCCTTAGCCAGGACCCTACTGTGAATATGTTTCTGTGTGCATATTGTCTTCCTGAAGCAAGGAAAACTCCTAATAGGCACCTGCCAGAGAGTTGGCAGGGCTGAGCTATTTGATGGCTCCATGGAGACAATTAAGTGTAGACAATCAGGCGGCACATGATGACACAACGCCTGTAATCCCAAAGGCTGGGAAGGCAGATGCAAGAGGATCGYGAGTTCAAAGCCAGTCTCAGCAACTCATCAAGGCCTGGTCTCTAAATAAAATGTAAAAAAGGGCTGTGGATGTGGCTCAGTGGTTAAGCACCCCTGGGTTCAATTCCTGGTACCCTCCTCCACAAAAAAAAAAAAAAAAAAAAAAAAATGCAGACTTTCAGACATAGAGTTCAGGTGGAGCAGAGTCCAGGGCACTGTGGCTATTCCCTTCACCCCAGAAGCCTCAGAGGGATGGTTCTGAATGTATGTATCATGTATAAGACAATGTGTTGGGATCATCACTTGGTTTTACAGAGGTATAGACTGCCTTGTCTAATATGGCATCCCTCAAAAATGTGGCTATTCAAGTGTAAAATAATTAGAATTAGGCCGGGGGGGGGGGGGSGKGGTGGTGCACGCCTGTAATCCCAGCAGCTTGGGAGGCTGAAGCAGGAGGATCTCAAGTTCAAAGCCAGCCTCAGCAACTTAGTGAGGCGCTAAGCAACTCAGTGAGACYCTGACTCTAAACAAAATACAAAGTAGGGCTGGGGATGTGGCTCAGTGGTTGAGTGCCCCTGAATTCAATCCCCAGTAAAAATAAAATAAAGGGCTGAGTATGTGGTTCAGTGGTTAAGCACCTCTTGGGTCAATCCCTGGTACCAAATTAAGTTTTAAATTCAGTTTGGTCACAGTAGCCATCTCTTAAGAACTCAATAGCCACATCTGGCCTGTGCAGGTGTTTTGGACGTGTGCATCTTCACTACCATGGGCCTCATGAATGGCACTGGGACCCCTTAAGGACTTGAGGATGCTTGTCCTGCCACCCTAGTTGCTCAGATGAGGCTCAAGGCAAAAAAAAAAAAAAAGCCCAGAGACCCGATTCAACTCCTCCAATCCCTGCAACCCAAACAAAAATGGAAATATTTTCATAGAAACCCTGGCCTTTGGTACAGTGGCAGAAAGAGCTACTTTTTGAGGTAGCCTTCTAGAACAGGGCTTTGCTCTCAGAGCTGGGCAGGAGGAGCTTGCCTGCCCACTGTCCCGTGTCTGCCTTGACCTGTGTCTTTGCCTCCCTCAGGTCATATGGAGACCTGCGGTGCACCCAGTACTGTTACATCGACTCCACACCCTGCCGCTACTTCACATGAGGAACAGGTGGGCTGTAGCCCATGGAACTGGCAGCAGCTTCCTCAACCCTCGTCAAGCTGGCCTTGCGCTCTCCTGGGCCAGTGTCCACCAACCTTTGGGTGACAAAAACAAGGATGAATTCTCGCTGCTAAGACGTGCTTTTGACTCTGTCTGACTGGAAGAATTTAGGACCACTGCATCCTGTCTTAATCCAAAGTACCGGAAAACCTTCGACATGCCCACCCTGGGAACTGTTCCCTGTCTCTACCATCTGGCCTAAGAGCCAGCTAAAATGCCCTTTCCTCTTCTGGATTGTCGTTGTCGCAGGCCGTGGACTTGGCTTAGCACTGTTAGACACGTGTAAACCTGCGGGGCTGTTTTAGTTTGTTGGGAGCTGATGTGGGAAATCTAGTGTATAGGCTTCTCTGTCTCTTGGACCTCCAGACACGCAGGTGTTCTTACCTGAGAACCACACAGCAGAGAAGTGGACATGTTCTCTCAATATGGCTCACAGCTTTGGACCCCGCCAGGGACTCTTCATCTGGTCAGAGGACAACCCGGCTTCATGTGGAAATGGCTCCCCCAGGAAGAGACCCAACTGTGGAAAAGCACTGAGAATGCCACAAAACCCATGCTCACCTTTGCACCGCCCACTCAGGAAAGGACCCCTGAGCAGAGGGTGGAGGCTCAGCTGAGTCACTTGCCTGCAAACAACAGCAGAGGAGTGGCCTCTCGCTTCTTRATGTTTCCCACAGCGGGATTCTTAGAGTTGCCAAATCCCTGCCGCCATCTTGATCTTGTGGCTTTCTGTACTTTGACCTCTGTCTTGCAAGGAGTGCCCCTCACTTCCATTTCCTGTTCAGGAGACTCACTCCGTAAGTCCACACACCTGGGAAGATGTTGGTCTTTCCGTGTCCTTAGGCACATACAGTCCTGGCCTTCCCCATCTAGGGTCCCACTGCAAGGACACTCTCAGCAGACTGTTTCTATCCTAAGGTGCATCTCCTCACTTCCTGATGACTCTTGGGGTTTCCTTTTGTAACTGCATTGTGCACATCCTTGTCCTCCTGTCTGTGTGCCTGCACTCTTCACTTTTCTATAGAATCCTTAGTCCTGCCTGTCTGTGAGCCGCTTCTCATGGCCGTCTTTCCTGAGGAGAGCTTGGGTTTATCAGGGAAAGACATCACCAAGATTTCCCCTATTATTTCCAGAAAGAGGGACACACCCCACACTCTGAGCTTTTGTACAAAGCTTTTCAATGAACCTGAGTCTTAAGGACTCAGCAAGCAGAAACTGTGACCCAGCAGGTCATCTGGGTGGTCTGTGGTGACATTATCCCAAAGATGGTGTCTTCCAAGGCAGGAGCATTGATCAGCTAGTTCCCTGGGTCTCTGGGACAAGTCTTGGGGGTGGGGAGGAGGGGGAATGTTGCTTGCATGGACATCCTGGGACTTCCAGATGAAAGATCAAGAAATAAAGGCATGACGGGTGTGGTGGCACATGTTGGTAATCCCAGCAAGTCAGGAGGCTGAGACAGGAGGATCACAAGTTTGAGACCAGACTCAGCAATTTAGCAAGGCCCTAAGCAACTTAGACCCTGTCTCAAATTWAAAATTAAAAGGGCTGGGGATGTGGCTCAGTGGTTGAACCCCTGGGTTCAATCCCCGGTGCCCAAAACAGCAACAATAATAATTTTWAAAAAAATAAAAATAATAAAAAATAAAAAAAGAAAGAAAGAAAAAGCAAAGAAAGAAAGCAAGCGGATTTCTCACCATGGCTCACTCTTCCTTGGGAGGATGAGGCCAGCATTTCAATATGGCTGGCTAGAATGAGGAGCCCTAACTCAGTTGTGCTTCCTGGATTCTACGGAAGGTTCTGGAATATGAAAGCATTCCAGCTTCCTCATGCTCAACAGGAGGAGGTAGTAGGACCTGCCAAAGGTCACAGAGTCCAGTCTTGCTAGCCCAGGCTTCTCTCTAACCTTGCTTTAGGACCTTGTTTGACATGGGTRGAGATCTAGAACTACCCCGAGATCTGGCCAAGAGGGACCCTGCCCTGGGTCCCATACCTTGGAGGGCAGCACTCCTACCTTTTTCTGACCTGACCCTCCCCAGGGGGTGGGGAATCCATGGGGCCAAGGTGACACCCCCCCCTAGAGCTGGCACACCCATCCTAGAGCATGCTCTCCAGGTTCCCAGGAAAACACAATTCCCTGCCCAAGATGTCCTGAGCCTGCACCCGCCTCCTCCCTGTGTCTGTCCTCCTGAGTGTGGCCAGGGCACACCTCTAAGACCGAGGAGTGGCCAAAGAAAAGCCATTCATAAGGATTAGATGGAGGTTGGGGTTTCCATGGGTGCACATGAAGCCGCTCTCAATGTGGATGGGCGAGGGAGGTCAGGCTGGGGCCTGGCMCCTGCTTTCCTAGTGCTTTCATGGTGCCAGGGACTCTGTAGAATCTAAATAGGCCATATACATGGTCTTTATGAAAGTATATTTGTTGAGGTAAACAGAACAAATTTAAATAATTGTTTGATTATAATGTGAATATTTAGGTATTTGGAATACAGGTGTTCATTTCGCTCTTCTCTGGAACCCAAAATATTAGGGGTGGGCCTATCTCCAGTTATTTCAAGGGAGGGTTTTTGAAAGTCTCAGGACAAAAAAAGTATTCAAAATTACATGTTTAGCTGAGTGCGGTGGCGYACRCCTGTAATCCCAGTGGCTCAGGAGGCTGAGACAGGAGGATTGTGAGTTCAAAGCCAGCCCCAGAAACTTAGAGAGTCCCTAAGCAACTAGCGAGACCCTGTCTCTAAATAAAATATAAAAAAGGGGCTGGGGATGTGGCTCAGTGGTTAAGTACCCCTTGGTTCAATCCCTGGAACCCCCCCCCMAAAAAATTACATGTTTAAAAATGTATGTAATAATAGTAATTCAGTGCCTTTGGCATTCTGAAATGGAAAAATGAGAGAGATCACAGGAGACAGGTGGCCCCCACCAGCCTGTCCTTGAAATGCTAACTCAGTGATGGAGGAAATAGGTTCCCCTTGAACAGAAATAAGTGCATCACAAAGGGGCACTTGTAAATAGGCTAGGCATTCAAGAGCTCACCTGTGCCAGCTAAATGTTTCCCAAGATAACTTTGGGTACATTACACCTCATAGCTTAAATTTCCACACCTGAAAGAGACTTTAGAAAAGTTCTTCCAACTCTTAATGGCTAATGAATTTGGACTCCRCCCTCTAGCTCTGACAGGGTAATCCCTAGGAGTGGTGATGGACCCCTGTTATGGTTTAGATGTAGTGCTCCTCAAAAGCTCGTGTGTGAGACAATGCAAGAAAATTTGGAGGAGAAATGATTGGGTCATCGCCTTAACCTAATCACTAAATTGATCCTGATGGAATTAACGGAGTGGGAACTGGAGGCGTGTGGGGTGTGGCCGGAGGAAGTGGTTCATTGGGGGTCTGGCTTTGGGGTATGTACTTGTATCTGGCCAATGGAATCTCTCTCTCAGTTTTGTCTGATCACCATGTGAGCTGCTTCCCCATGCCACACTCTTCTGCCATGATGTCCTTCCTCATCTCGAGCCCCAAAGAATGGAGCCGGCTGTCCATAGACTGAGACCTCTGAAACTGTGAGCCCTCTAATAAACTCTTCCTCCTTTACAATCATTCTGGTCAGGTCCTTGAGTCCCAGTGGCCAAAAAAAAAAGCTGACTAAAACACCCCTTCAGGCTGAGCCTGTTACATAAAATGGCTGAAAATGTAGGACGGTCTCCAGAGAAGTGGTCAGGAACCAAATGAGGCCATGCCAGGGTAGTATTGATGGGCTCATACAACTTAAAAGCCCAGTGAGAGGTGGAGATCAGCATGGTTCAATGAAGGCTCCCATTTCATGGCCCTGCTGTCTTCAAGGCTTTTTGGATCTCTTCTATTCATCTGATCCTTCGTGTGTGGTCATGGGCTGACTATGGCAATTTCAAGAGTACGTCTGAACCCTACGATAACCGCAGAAAACCCCTATTCCATTGGTTCTCAAGAAATTCTTTTCCAGAAGTTCCTAGTAAATCTTGCCTTGCGCTTCCTTGGCCTGTTTTGGTTCTCATGCTCATTTTCTGAATTGGCAGGAAAACGTACCTGCTGATGGAATTACAGCTAGGTTCTGGAACCCATGGCACCCAAGGTTATAATTTCTCTTAGCCTATCCACTGGAGATTCTGCAGAAGCAGAAGCTGCAAGGGGAAGGAATGATTACTGGACTGAATATTGGGGGCAAAAAGAAGGGAAGGGATGCTGAATATACATAATGTCCATTACRGCTGCGACCTGCATGGCTGAACCCCCAGAAACCCACGAGGGGCAATGGGAGATTAAGAAAAACAGGATCAGGTAGTAACCTGACCTCTGAAAACAGTGACCCAGAGCTGGCTCCATACATTTATTATATAGGTTTTATCATCAAAAGGTTATCTGTGAGAGAGTTTCTGCAAAGCAGGCAGGCTGGAGGTCACAGTGCTGATGAGACATTGTGATTATCTGGCTATGCTCAGAATCCTCTAACCCTGGGAGCCAGTGTCTGAGTTCAGAGTGACCACTGGTTGGCATTGCCATAGCAACTGGGCAATGTTAACCTGTACTTTTGCACAGGGAGAGCCTAGCCCCAGTGCACCACAACCATGAGGACACCTTGTTCCACATCCCTACATTAGAATGGTCGTCTCTGTTTTGCTTCTCCTTTTGGCAGGAATAAATGCTGAGGCCCTTGGGACACATATTTGGGAAGACTTCTCACACCCAGTAAGCTCATGATTAATTCTGACAGCTCCACTCAGAGAGGCTGACTCTCAGAGGGTGCCATAGGTCAAGAAAGGTGTGGTATCGCTAATAAAAAAGAAGATTCAAATACCACTTTCATGTTTGAAGCATGGTTCTGTTACTGACCCATAATTTAATTGTCTTGCAGAGTTAACTTCTCTGGGTATCTGTATTCTTATCTATAAACTAGGAGTCATAGTATCATATTCCAAGGTTATAATAAATTGCTGACACCTAGAAACTGTTTCGTAAGTGTTAGATTTTATCTGTGTCACTATTATATTTTAGTGGCTATGAATACCCGGGGATATTTTTCATTCCCTTTTGAAGCTACTTACATGAGCTCACTTTTTAAATTTTATTTCATTTTATTTTTTTGGTACTGGGGTTTTAACCTAAGGCTGCTTAACCACTGAGCCACATCCTCAGCCCTTTTTATATTTTATCTAGAGACAGGGTCTTGCTAAATTGCTTAGGGCCTTGCTAAGTTGCTGAGGCTGGGTTTGAACTCATGATCCCCCTGCCTCAGCCTCCCGAGCTGCTGGGATTACAGGCGTGCATCTCCATGCCTGGTTTAGCCCCTAATTCTTCAGGGACAATGAGGGCATAGCTTGCCTTATCACTCTCCCCCCTATCACCCCAGTTCTTCTAGATTGGGCTTTTGGTGTTCCAGCCCATAACAATATCATCCTCTACCATATGGCCCACCTGCATGCTACCCTCTATCCTTTATCACCTCAGATGGGTCACTGAAGGCAGAAATCACAGTCTTGGGTCATCACTTGGGGTTCACCAGTGGGGTCTAAGTGGCCCTCAGCCTTATGGGTCATTAGAATCATGTGGAAGGCCTGTCACATCACTGTCCACCGCCCCCCCCATCACCGTTTTTGCTTCAGTAGATCCAGGGTGGGGCCTGACAATTGGCATTTCTAACAAGATCCCCCAAAATGCTGATATTGCTTGATCCAGGATTATAATTTAAGAGCCACTGCTGAGGGGCAGATAGCTCATCTGGGAGCAAATGACAGATGAGATGGAAGGAACAAGGGACAAACCCTGGAGCTTTGGGTGGACAAAGCTTTTGATGCTTCTCCTTTAGAGCAGTGGAGACTATTGCCCCTTCCCTGGAATCTATTGGTCTGCTATGACCGATAGGATGTGACACTGTGTGACTTCCCAGATGTCTTGGATTTTTTGCTGCTGCGACTAAAAGAAAAAAAAAATTTAAGGAGGGAAAGTTTATTTGGGGGCTTGTGGTTTCAGAGGTCTCAGTCCATAGACAGCAGGCTCCATTCCCAAGGGCTCCAGGTGAGGCAGAACTTCATAGCTGAAGAGTGTGGCAGAGGGAAGTGGCTCACATCGTGATCAGGAAGCAGAGAGAGACTCCACTCTCCAGAGACAAATAGAGACCCCTATCTGCCCTCAGTTACCACTCAATCCCATCAGATGATTAATTCACTAATTGGGTTAAGGCTCTCATAACCCAATTATTTCTCTAAACCTTATATTATCTCACACATGAGCTTTTGGGGGACACCTCACATCCAAACCGTAACACCAGGCTAGGTCATAACAGGCCAAGMAGCTTCTCAGAACACCTGTTTCAGAGGAAGCCAGATGTAGGGAAGAAGGCCAGCTACCATGAGATGGCCAAGCTGGAGAGGTTATGTAGTCCGTGTGTGTGGCTAATGGTCCCAGAGGAGTTTATTTCTAACCATCCCCAACCAGGAGCCAGACACATGAATGAAATCAGCTTGGAGCCTTGAGTTCAACCCATCTGCCCACTGATTACCAGAGTAACCTCCATTGAAGCCATAAGGAACAGAACTGYCTAACCAACCTGGGTCCCAGTTCTAACCAACTGATTCCATGTAATAGAATGCTCATTGTTTTAACCCACCAAGTTTTGGGGTACTTTGTTACTTAGTCATAGATAACTAGTATAGTGTTTGGGGCAAGAGAGGATAGGAGGGAAGCAAACTATGAACAGCAAATAGAGGGAAGGGCCTAGAGAAACCATTGGCTTGCATTTGGCGCCATCTGCAGGAACCATGAGTAGAAATCTAACACCCACTGGGACTTTCCATCAGTGCCAGAGCTGGGAGGTCCTTTGGAGATCCAACCTCCAAGAATTCTCCCTGAGCAATGGGAAAGAGATATGGGGCATGTAGACACCGCARATTGGTTGCATTAATAGCCCAATTCTTCTCACTTCCACATTTTAAGAAGGAAAGGTTTATTTGGGGGCTTTCAAATGCACRTGCAATCTCCCTACAGAAAGTGAACAGCTGTGACAGAAATCTCAGTTTCTGCAGAGAAAAAGGTTAGCTTTGCCAACTGATGCATTCAAATTAATTACCCTGGGATCCTCTTGAAAAGCAGATTTTCGTTCTAGATCTAGGATGGGTCCTAAGGTTCTGCATTTCTAATAAGYTCCAGGTGACACACTGCTGGTCCCACCACATGGTGACTAGCAAGGGTTTAGATTAAAGTGAGGCAGTGCTACATTGTTGTTGATTTTAAAAATCATTTAAAATAAATACACAGCAAATCTTTTTCTAACCTTCCCAAGTTTCTGCTGTCATGTCCTCATCTTAGTGAGGTTGGAGCAATCTCATTCCTGCACAAACCAGAATATTCTTGGGGCAGCTGGTTCTGCCTCCTGGAAAAGAGTATGACTTCCTTTTTGTCTTATTGTAAAGGCTGCTGTCTGCACCAGTGTCTAAGTTTTTACTTCTTGCTGCCCTTGAAGGAGTTTCTCATACCTTTGCAGCAAGCTCTGTTCCACATTTGGATAGGCATAAATTTGAATTTCTTTTCTCAGTCTCTGCTACCTGATGAGAAAAGATTTATCCAATGCAAGTAAGTGGTCCATTTTCCCTACCACACCCCATTCACCCAGGAATCTCAATGGCTCTGTTTATTCCCTCATTTGATGTTATGCCAATTCCATTAAAATTAAATTTACCCCTAAACAAACAAACAAAAATGCACATACAACTTCTTCCAACAATCAGGGGAAGGGGGTGTGTTTCCCATCCCTCRATTCTGAACTTGGCCCCATGGCTTGTTTTGGTCAATTACATGTCAGTGATTGCAGTCAAGATGAGAACATAGCTAAGCCCAGTCTAAACTGCAATCTACCAACTTGTAAGCAAAATAAATGCTTATTTTGTGTTTTGGGAAGGTCTGTGACATACCATTTTGGCAGCAATAGTTAAGCAGGGATAAAGCTCCTCATGTAATCGATATCCACTACCACTTTCTCACTGAGATGGTCTATTTGCACCTGCAAGCATGGGTACCAATGCAGGACAAGTAGCAGAAGGCTCCTAAACTATTTTCTTAACTCATAATTTTATTCGGTCCAAACTCACTGAGCACCCATTGGAGACATCATAGAAAATTTAAAAATATGGTCAGTGAAGCTCTCTAGTATGGGTTTTTCTTTGGTGGAATACTTTTTTTTTTTTTTTTCTGTTGATAATGGTATATTGCTCCCAACCAGGAGTTTACAGTCAAGCAGGAGAGTCAAGACCACAAGGCAGATTTGGGTACCGTTGAAGCATAAGTGTAGAATCRAATCTGGAGGGCAGGCTCACTCCCGGCTGTATGTCAACTGGAGGCCCAGAGAGAGAGAGAGAGAGACAGACAGAGACAGAAAAAAATGACATTCCAGGTAGAAGGAATTTGGTGTACTAAACTGCCTAGAGAATAAGCTAGGATTCAGTTTAACTCTCGCCTGCCTGGTTCTCAGACCCCAACCTAAGCCTGATTTTCCAGACTGAGTAAAGTGGCCTTAGATGCCATGTGGCTTGCTAAAGTTACCCTTCAGTTTTGAACTTCATACTTTTTCTTGTTAATTTTTTTATTTTTTATTTAATACACAAATAAATTTATACATATTATGGGGCACTAAATTATTAGAATAAATTAAGCAAACTCTTAGAATAAATTAAATTAATTGGTAAAGACAGAACCTTGGTCACCTAGGCTGTTGAGCTTGGTCATGCTTGAATCTCATAGCTGCATCCTCAAGTTTATATCAAGGCCCACACCACAGCCAGTGGTGATGCAGGAGAAAACAGGAGTCTGTCCCAYGGGGGTGCAGGTCTCTGCCTGGTGCTGGGGCAGTTTTAAGTGCCATCTGTGAGCCTGGTAATAGCTGAGATGCCTGAGGTTGCAGGATCAGTGGTGGAGGTAGTCCTTTGGCCACCAAGGGTGCTGTTAATCTGGGTGGCACCTGAGTCTCATAGCCAGAGACCTGCATGGTCTTAGGAAGGCAGGTGATCTCCAGGCTCACTCAAGCTGGAACTGCTGAGGCCTAATCTTGGATATATACTGCAGACCACAGTTCCCTGCCTAAAGATCCTAAAGCTAATCCAGAGCTCAGATAAAACCGTTACCTTTCATGGCTTTTCCCTAGCAGATGGGAGTCCAGCTCAGGGCTCTGTTGCCTGAAGTTGGGAATGGGATGATGGAGACGATCTCTGCCACCTAGCCTAAAGCAGTTCCCCCAATTCAGCTCACAGGTTTTGGCCTGGTGGTAAGGGTCACAGGGCCTTGCCCAGCATTGAGCTTCACAATGATGGGCCTAGTGCTGGGTTTCAAGAGCAGAGCCTGAATTTAATTTTCYCTCCCACCCCCAAGCAAGAGGCAATGGGAGTGACCTGGGCAGCTTTTCCTTTCCTGTCTTCTTCAATGGTCTTTTTGTTTTGTTAAACTAAAAGCAGGCACTATGGTCTGATTTTCTTGGCTCTTATGCTAATAGTGTAGTGCATTGTTCAACTTGGTATGGGTGGGGAAAGACTGCAGAAGGATCTTCCTCAATCACCATCCAACTCTGGCCCCCTGAACTTCATGCCTTTTAAAAACTGAAGTTCATCCTTCAGTTAAATGCCACACTTTTAAAAAATGAAAGTGTATTCATATTCACCAAATTAAAAAGGAATCAATTTAGCCAACTAGGCTTTAAGTACAAAGAATTCTTAAAAGAACCTTATATTACTTATTCTATGAAGGAAACAAAAAACACGAAGACATTATGTATATTGCTTACCTTCATTTTTTATTTAAATATAGTGATCTTTTAATAGAATAAACAAAAAACTCTATACAGCAAATATTTTACATAAATGTAAACATGCATGTCTATTTCATAATTAAGCAAAATGAATTTTTAGGCACAAGATTTTAAAAATCATGAAAGAATGAGACATGAACCCAAGACAGAAACAACAGAAGCAACAAAAAGACACATTTCATAACACTTCAATTGGTCTTGTCTTCCAACCTATTGGTTAAGGCCTGAGTTTCAGAAATCCTACTTTTCTTGCCAAATGGAAATATCCAGTTTGGCTGTACCAAATATATATCCACAAAACAGACAAATAATTATTTTTCAAAATAATGTAATAAATACCTCTCTCTCTCTCTCTCTCACACACACACACACACATACAAACACACACACACACACACACACTCACTCTCTCTCTCTCTCTCTCTCTCTCTCTCTCTGCTGAACCAGGCTGTCTAATAGGGAAGTAAAAATTTGGGAATTTTCAAGTCTTCCTACCACTGAAGCAAACCACATAGAAAAAATAATTCTGTTACAGAAATAAAATGATGAGTGGCATTATTAGAAATCTCTAGTTCATTTGTATTATGTTTCCCCAAATCACGTTTTTACTAAGGCTTGCCATGGCTCCTCAGACACTCCAGACTTCATCTTTCTACCCTGCCTAAATGACCCACAGCAGAGACGCTGCATTAAGAGGCAACTTAACAATTCAGTTAAGAGACTTCAGCACGGGCACTGTATGGTCAGCTTAGTCCAAATGCCTGGAACGTTCTCTCCTGGGCTTTACTGCTTAGCCTTCTCTGCCTCCTCCCCGACCAGGCTTACACACCRGAATAGCCTGTGATGACAGTCCCTGATTTTAAGGAGCTCACACCAACCAGAGTTCAARCAAGAGAAAGGTCAGTTTGTGCACATAGGGTACTTCATAGGGGTATGAAATGAGTAGAGGAAGAGTCCATGAAGATGGTACCTACAGAGCCTCAGAAGTGGAGTCTGGAGTGAGGACGAGGAGCAGGAGAGAGAGGAGGCACAAAGACAGAAGAAAAATCCAATTTGGCTAGCAGAAGGATATTTGTGATAATTCATCTGTGAGAACACGTTTCTAGAAAAGAAAAGATTCCTTATTCTGGTGGGGAAAGTTGAGTTGGGGTGGGGAGTATAATGGAAGAACAGAAGCACTGAAGGCTTTGCACAGGGAACAAAACCCAGAGCCACAATGAAGAATTCCCATGCATACTGGGTGGACAGATGACATAGGAGAGTGCATGAAGCTCAGAAAGCGTCACTCAYCAAGCCCAGTGCCACATGCAAGTATTTCCTATAGAAACAAGTATCAACCTAACATGCCAAAAACCATTTCTGACTACAGAAATCAAGGCTTTTGGAGAAAAAAACAGGGGAGGGGGTGCTTAAATAGATATTCTTCATTCAAGTTCCTAGAACCTGCCCCAGTCTGAGCAAGTTAAAAGCAGTGACACAATTCCCACATCCAGGAACAATTCAAGTCTCCCAAACCTGACCTTAGCCTTCCCTGAGCTGTCATCTGCAAGTAATTATAAAGCAATTATCAGTTCACTATAGATAAGTTCCTACCCTGGTGCGGGCGTGCTTCTGGGGAACAGCTCCTATCCCACCCCCAGCTSCCTGGAGTCACTATGTGGATGAAATAACTGACCTACAAGGTACAACTCTGACCAAAGAGGTCATCTGWGTAGAGGAACCCAAGGAAGGAAAATCATTAATGTCTCGATGCCTACTGAAACAAAACAGACAAAAACTTCTGAGGACACAGCCACTAAGACGATACAGATGGATTGCTCCAAACGTATCACTAGATGGTTTACCACACATTCACTCAACATGGAACATTTACTAGCGACCAGTTTCCAGCAACAACAGATTCAATTGGAAACTGCACACTGTCAAAGGCAATCTTGTGACTTTCTTCTGGTTTTATATAAAAAATACAAGTCAGTCTGGAAGTCAGGCACAAACAGTGGTACAAAAGCATTAAACARAAAAACCTTATCAAAGAATGTGCTCATTCCATATTGCAGAACTCCTATCTAGGCTCTGGTTTCTGAAAACTTCCTGCTGGTTTGTGTGTTTGGAGAGGTTTCTTCACTACGCCTCTCTTCCACTCCTACCCCCCACACCTGTCAAAAACCACCAAATGAAGATCACCTAAGATGGAACACACGGAACAAAAAGCCTCGATCCTACCTAGTCCCGTGCGTCAGCACCACGGCTGCTGGTTTGATCTGCTCACTCAGCCTGGCGTATTTAAGGACTGTCTGGATCTGAATTCAAGCTAGAAATACCCAGTGCTTTTGTCTTTTGGAATCCAATAAAAGTGCCAATGTACATCTAAAAGTTCCACGTGTAAGCATCTCTTGATTCCACTAAGTGAAATTCAGGGAGGGAGCAGTGAGAAAACCCTGGACTGGGCCTGGACACTGGCCCTGGCCAGCTGTGCTTTCCTTTCCTAGCCTGTAAATGAGGGGACTGTGCTGGCAGATCTCAAGGTTCCCCGCCCAGCTGACACCCGAGGACTCCACTCAAGTCCACTTCTACATGGGCTTGTCAGGCTGGGTCAGACAAGCTTCCTTACCACTTAGTGTCAACAATTTAAAGTGGTTTTGCCATATTTCTATGATTTCTATGCATGTTTCTATGATGCAGTTTGAGGTTTCCCTTCCTCCTGTTCCTCCAGATTGTTTCATTTCACTGATGCAGACCACTAGGCCGAACGGATGGCTATGGAGGGTTAAAACCAATTCACTGGCCTGGTGAAGACAGCGCCTTTGAGTAACCCAGGCCAGGGCACATCTGTCTGTTTTTCATTAACAATGTTAACCAAATAGAAATATAATCCTGTTAGTTCTTCTATAGATCTACTTAAACTTTGAAATAAGAGATTGTTCAAAAATTACATGAGAAAATCACCCATCACCACTAAGTTAAAGACTTGAATATCCGAGAGCGCCAGAACCTCCAACTCCTACTACAGGCACTGATCCACGACATGTTCCTCCTGGCAATGGACTCCATGCAGAAGCAGCCGGGTCTTGCAGCAGGTTCGTGCACCAGAAAGTAGATTTTGAAAGATCCGGTGCTAGTCATCACTGTCACTGCCAGACTCGCTCAACTGCAAGTCATTTCCTACAGAAAGGAAAGAATAAACCTTAACAAAGACTTCCCCGCAGTTCATTAGTGGACTGCCTCGGCTATTACACTACCATAAAACCTTGCTAATTCAACTTAACCCATTTTGTTCTGTTGTCTCAGATGTGGAACATGCACAAAAACTTAAAATACAGCATACAAGATGTGATTATATAACAACAAGGAGAATTATAACAATTATTATATCAGTCAATATAATGCTAATTAATATTATTAATATAAGACTACAGTATGATTCCCAGACTATTTTAATACACCTGTGTCAATTTCATTGAAATATACATAGAACTAAAAGCTTGGGGCTTAATGAGTTAATCAGGGAGGAAAATCAATTTGGCTAACAGAAAAAACTGGTATAATCAACATTTCCAAAGAAATGCTATTTTGGTATCCGCAAAGCCCAGCAGTACTCCTCATTAGAATAGAACAAGGGAGAAGTAGGCCAGACAGCTTTGAAATGTGTTAATACATGACAAGAAACTAAGATCCCTTTGCTGGCATTGTTCACATTAAGTTGTTTCACATAAGCTAAGAAAACACCAAGTGAGGCTTCCATTGTGGAAGCTGAATGCTGTTTACACAGTTGTATGCTAATCCAATGTCCCCTCTGATACACCTCTGTCCAAGACACTCATCTTACTTTAAACCTTGAATGTGAACTAAAAGCTTTACAAAGCCCCAGATTGTTACTTGGTATGCAAAATTTAGAATTCAGGAGTGACTCAACATTTCATGTTAATATAACAGGAATACATATAATAGCACCCCAGCTGGTACCACTTGGATTAAAAAACAAAAGTGAACCTCTATTTCTGGAAGGCTAATTTCTAGGCCAATTCTTCTCAAAATCTGTTCAGAGGACTCTGGAGTCCCTAGAATCCTTTCAGGGCAACTGGCCCCGAGGCCTTCCTTTTCTAACTCCCTGCCTGTGTGAAGCCAGATTTTCTTCATATAGTTCAACTTATGTTGAAGATAGGGCACATCTGACAATGTACTGAGACATTTCTGGTTGACACAGTAGGGAGAGATTGGTTCTGTCATCTAGTGGGCAGAGGTTGGGGATGCTCTTACACATCCTACAAAATATAGAACAGCCCCACAACAAAAAAGATTTATCCAGTCCAAAATTTCCATAGTCCCCAGATTGAGATTATCTTTGCCTAGTTGAGGTTAATGAGGTTAGCTTCCCCACCGAAGCTAAAAGACCTTTCAACTTCAAAGGAGAAGGAGAACCAAGAAATGAATATTCAATCAGGATTCCAAAGAGAGAAGCATTTTTGTTCTTGCTTTCCTGCTTTACTTTAGTATCATGCATTAGAAGCCACCCAAGCCAGGTGTGGAACATGCACCTGTAATCCAAGCAACCTGGGAGGCCAAGGCAGAAGGATCACAAGTTGGAGGCCACCCTGGCAATTTAKCGAGGCCCTGGGGATACAGCTCAGTAGCAGAGCACTTGCCTAGCATGCACAATTCCCCCAGAAGAAGAATAAGGAAAAAAACCCAACCAAACATCACAATATCCTTCTTTTCCCTCTTGCCAAAGCTAGTAGGTTTCTAAACACAGGCAATGAATTCTTTTTTATAAAAGACTTGGAYAGTGTGGTGGCAGGTTGTCTCTTAAACCTGGTATATGCAAAAACAAAGAACCCATTTATTCATATTTCAGGATTTCCCAGAATTCACAAAACCTAATTTGTGATAGTAGAAAATGGAAAACACAAATAGCAGATTTTTAGTTTTGTGCCTGTCTTTTACTGTTTGGTAACACACTTCTTTCTGCTCCAAATTATCTTTGCAAGATCCTCTTCTGGTCTTAAAGGCCTTCAGGTTTACAGATTCTGCTGGCCCGGTCTCAGCCACTGAAGGGAGAATGCACTTACTGAGGGTGTTCATGAGCTGGTTGCTTCCTTGTGGCCGGCTGGTTCCATTGGCGACAGCAGGCCTGCTGTTGTACGGCTGCTGGTGTGAAGGCTGAGGAGGAGAGGCTGGGCCATTGTCCTCGCCTCCGCTACTGGAGCTGTCGTCATCACTTCCTGAGGAGCTCTCAGAGTCTGAGGAGCTGCTGCCACTGCTGCTGCTCATCTGCTCAATGATGTCGACCTCAGCCCTCAGCTCTGCAATAACATGAACGACAGGGTCAGCACAGCAACAGCTCTCAAGGCAGAGCTCCAAAGCCTCCATAAACAGTGACCTAGCGAAATGGCAGCAGGAAGGAACACACCAGAACAACTCCTGCTTCTCAACTCCTTAAAAACATACAAACAAAATTATCCAAACYGAAACAAACAAACAAACAAAATACCTAACCTGTTTGCAGACAGACAAAAAAATTGCTGAATTCAACCAAAACAAACAAAAAGCAGACTGCTTCAGAATAATGACCATTCTGTATAGGAAACAAATTAAATCTATTATTTATTTACTTTAAAAAAAGGATTATGAATTATGATTCTTATTTGGGTGAAATCCCAAATAAGAGAAATATTGTGTTAAAGGGCTGGAAAAATATTTGACTAGGAGCTGGAAGGTCCGAGTGCTTATTTTGGATCTACCTTCCAACAGAAAGACCCAAGAGGAAGTCAATGAATTTTCCAAGTCACTCTGGAAACATGAAAGCCAGACAACCGCTGAGGTCCTTTCCAAGTCTTRCAGGAAGAACCATGGCAAGTGAAGAATCACAGCAGAATACCATTCCTCTTCTTCGCTCTTACATATAGGAACAAAGACCATGCCTGTCAGGTTTTGCATTTTTCACAGATGTAAGGAAGGAAAACTGTGTTTTACCTAGCCATTCGATGTCTAGGGATACATGGAGAATGATGACAGATTTTCCCGTCCAAACATACAATGTGGCCTTAAATGGCTATGGCTCCTTTAAGCATAACACAACAACTAACCATTCACCATCTTATTCCTATTCAACTTTGTAGTGGAAATTTCCACAACAGCATTCTAATATCAATGAGAGAGGAAAAAAAAAATCAAGAGGTATAACAACTGCACAGCGCAGAGAGTGACTTTATGTGCTAAAACGCAGCATTTCTATAGGTTGGGAAAGGCAAACTTCCAAAACAATWCTTTATCTTTCCCTGTCTTCTACTATTGTGGATTTTATTTTGTTTTGTGAAAACTTACAAATGTGAAATAAAATACTTAGCCTCGTAACCTCTAACAGTCTGGAGGAGCAGACTACATAATGGGAGAAAACCGAGGTAACCGTGTCTCGGTTTGCAGTGGGAGAGCCTAGCCAAACCTCTTTCTAGACCTGAATCCATTTCCACTGATCACATGGCCTCTTTCATATTTATACACTTTGTGTTAGCACAAAGCATTTGGTGATATTGTTTTAAATGGTCCTCTAACTTAGGTACATTAGTGTGGAGCTCAGAAACATTGCCACATTTGGTTTTCACCCCCAATATCTAAAACTTTCTCTCTCAAAAGCCTTAAAGGTATGCCATATGGAGCTTCAAATGGCAGTCATGTTTATTTAAAGTCTGAGCCTTTAAGAATGTTGCCAAGATAGTCACAAGTTGATAGTCATAAATAAACACTAGAGGGCCCTACCCAGCAGCTCTGGAGGAGTCAGCTTTGAAGAAAATCTTTTGATAATAGCAAATGTTTGGGCTGCCAGGTCAATACAGCAGCTCTGTGATCTCCTAAAGAACATGGACACCCTACTCCATGTTGCTCTCATGGCTCTAGAGAATGTTCTCTACCTCTTTTGATGTCATCCAGCTGAGGTTCAGGTGAGGGGTTATCCTTCAAGGGAGATGTTTTGGGTCCAGCTGGAGGCTTGGTTGGTGCTCTGAAAGACATGGGTGGCGGCGGAGGTGGTGGTGGTGGTGGTGGTGGTGGTGGCTGTGGTGGCTGTGATGGCTGTGGGGGACGAGAGGGCTGCTGTTCCATTCGGGCCTGGATTTTACTGCTCCCCTCAGCTCTAAAATGAGATAGACTTTAAATCAGATAGGCTAAAACAGCAGTTCTCAAATTTGTCCAGGTGACCAAATTCTTGGAAGTCTCTGCAAAACCCCACGCCCTTTCCAGACCACTGCAAAATACTGCTATTTGTCATTTGGTCATGAGAACTACTCACTAAAGAACTGAGTGTCTACCACATTCCAGTACTATACTGTGTGTCAAAAATAGAGAGTTTTTTTTTTTTTAAGTAGACTTGTTGCCCTCAAGGAGATCACATTTTACAGCAATGATAAAAAAAACATTTACACTACAATGTGATTATGAGATTCCATCTTACTCTTTGACTTGTTTGCAATACACAGTTATCATGAATTCAGGAGTTCCTGAATAAACTACCTCTTAAAATACTGGCCAGTGTACAAATTTTTCCATTATCTATTTACTGCTTGCCCACCGTGTCACAGAGTTCTACCCCAAACAAAGAAAATTCTACCCATTAACAATTTCTTTTATGCTTCTTAAACTTTAGCACATGATCACCTGGAGATTTCTGCAGAGTCTGACCTTAGGTAGGTCTTGAGATTCTGCCTAACAAGTACCCAGGTGATCTGATGCTGCTAGTCCCCAGATCACTCTGAGTAGAAAGGAAACAGAGGACCACACCAGATACTGGAAGAGTAACAGAGCACCTGTTTCACTGCAGGCGATCATACAATACAGCAGCATGAGAAGGGTTGGGCTCTATGCCGGCTGCCCAGTGTGATCCTCGGCTGTAGCTGTCCAATTTAGGGAACTCACAGCCTCTAATCCTCAGTCTTGTCATGTGTTTTGGGGGGTTTTTTTGTTTGTTTGTTTTTTAAATATAATAGCACCTTTGTAAAATTTATTTGTAAAGATTTAATAATGCACATAAAGCATCCAAGCATTGTTTGTCTTGTGATAACCTCTCAATAAATGAGAGTCATTTTTATTGTTTTGTGGAATTGAGTGAATGAAGAAAAATAGTAAGTGGAGACAAACAGAAAAASATTAGATTGTAACACTGTCTTTAAAACTGAATTACTATATTATAATAATTACTGTATTACAATGTAATAAATAGAACCACTGGTTATTTATAGAATGAATTCTAATTTTCAAGTAAACTCTAACTGGTTTCATATAAGACATGGTGTGCCTGCTGAATGAACTATTAATGAAAGTTCACTATTCAAAAAAATAGGCAAAGTTTTATTTTGGCATTAGTCAACTCAACCATACCCTATAAAAAAGTAATGTTTTYAACCCCAATAAAATTATGCAATTATTTTTTCTTAATTATAAGTCTATAAATACAAATCTCATTCCTTACATAGATTATTAATAACAATCATGAGTTTGATAAAAATGGATTAATTATAAATTACTCCCTTAAAGCATTATTTCTTTTTATTGTATTTAAAGAAAATAAAAAATTTTATTGATTTGTGTAAGAAGACACAGGCAGAGTTGTGAACATTCCCATGTTCACATCTTCATAAAACTGGAATCCATACTACAAAGGTTTAGAAACATCATATAAAACTGTATCTGGTTTTTAACATACCTTGTTTTCTTGACCTGAATGCTGCTACTGAGTTTTTCCAGCACATATTCACCAGTGTCATGATTAATAATAAGTACACAGTCTTTCTGATAAGGCCGTTTGTTCCCCTTGAACACAGTCATTGGTGGTGTGGATCCCTATTTGCCACAAAAGTATAAGATGATCAAGCTAAGCACACCAATTATGAATATCAAAACTGACATTATAAATGACTATCTCATCAAATCTTTTATCAGAGCTACTCAAAAAGGCAGAACTGATTTCTATTTTAATTCCTTCTGGTTTCCTATATAAAAATAAAAGAGAAATAATCCAGCAAGAATCTGTGACCTTACAACTGGCTCTAGGTAATTAAGAAATGCAGTATAATTTTTTTTTAATATGTAACTAAGGGGTTGAGAAAATGTTACAAAGAATAGTAAAGTTCTATATAGAAAAAGAAATTAACCATAATAGGTCTAAGTAAAACCTGAATAGTAAAACTAGTGAGTGCTCTCTAAATTTCTTAACTGGAGAGTCCAGGGCTTTCCATCATGTCCATAACCAACAGAGCCTTCTTGAGGGCAGCTCATTACCCTCAGGAAGCACAGCCTGCTAGTCATCTGCCTAAGCCCTTCAATAACTCTCCTGTCACCCTTAGGCCAAAGGACAAAAATCTTCCAGCCAGCCATCAGGCCTTGCACCACCCAACCCTGGACTGTGTGTGCTTCAGAGCACTTCTCTCGGATCCTCAAGCTCATTCCTGCCTCAGGCTTTAACAAGCTTCTGCTGGCTACATCCTCTCCCACCCCCAATATTGGAAATTGAACCTATGGGTGCTCTACTACTGAATTTTATTTACTTACTTATTTATTGAGATAAGGTCTGCTAGGTCAGCAGGCTGGCCTTGGATTTGTGAACCACCTGCTTCAGCCTTCAAGTAGCTGGGATGCCAGGTGTACACCATGGTACATACAGCCCGCTCTGTGTGTCTGTATGTGTCTGTGTGTGTGTGTGTGTTTATTATTTTTTATACCAGGGATTGAACTCAGGGGTGCTTAACCAGGGAGCCACATCCCCAGCCCCTTTTATATTTTATGTAGAGACAGGGTCTCACTAAGTTGCTTAGGGTCTTGCTAAACTGCTGAGTCTGGCTTTGTACTTGCAATCCTCCTGTCTCAGCCACTGGGATTATAGGCATGTGCCACAGTGTCCAACTTTGCCTGCTATATTTGGAATCTCCTTTGAAGTTACTCTACATTCAGATTGAGTTCAAGGGTAATTTCCTTAAGAAAGCCTTCCCTGGTTTTCTAAAATGCATGTTTTTTTTTTTTTWAATTTAAATTCTAGACCACAAGTTCCATAAGAACAAGAAATGGGCCTTATTGCTCAAAGTTACGTTCTTCAAGCCTCAGTAGTCACTCGATTAATATTTGTTGCTAATAGGATTTAATGCCTTGCTTTGAATCAAAAACTGTTTGGCTCTTTGACTTCTTATTCATACTAAAAAAAAAWAACTTAGAGTTAGAAGGAACCTTAGGGACAATTTATCTATCCCTTTCATTTTACAGTTGGGAAACTAAGGTCCAAAGGGAGATGATGTAACCTGACACAGACAGCAAATAATGAAATAGCTCTTTGAATGGGAAGATAATTTTTCCTTAGCACAAAGGTTTCCAGGTGCCTGTCCAGAGACTTTTTATTCTATCAGTAGCCACCAAGAATTTACTATGCTTCAGGACAGAGCTGTTAAGTTCAATGACACATGTTTACAAAGAGCATCTTGTAATCAGAAGAGGATTTTTTTTTTTTTTTTTTTTTTTGCTTATTTGTTTGGTCTGGGGACTAGAGCCAGGGCTTGCTGCATGCTAAGAGCATGCTCCTCCACTGAGCTACATCCCCAGACCTCTTTTTTATTTTATCTTGAGACAAAGTCTTACAAGATTGCCTGGGCTGGTCTGAAATTTGCAATTCTTCTGCCTTAACCTCCAAGTAGCCGGGATTATAGGCGTGTACCAAAGCATATGGCTTCAGTGTAGTTTTTAACTGAGTTTTTCATCCTTAAATTGCCCACATGCTCCAAACCTTTGGTTTGCTCAGTATCTKATATGGCTATTTATCAGTAGGGCACTGGGGCTCTTCTCTTCAGAGCTGCTTAGGAGAAAAACTATGTACATTTAACAGAGGTGCTAGGTGTCCACATAGGAACCTCGCCTTCTTTGTAGCATATAGGGGGCAAGGGGAACTTGGGGAAAATGACGAACACTTTAACCAAGTGCCTGAGTAACTTGATTGAACTCTACCCCATCCCATGATTCAAAATTCCTTTTTTACTTATGTTGGCACTTTAGAAATCTAAAAGTTTTTACAGTTGGAAATTCAAATTGCAATATAATCATATACAAGGATTCACTGTGATGCTTTCGTTAAAACCAACAACAATGGGATAAACTTACAGGAATATGTGGCAATGTAATTGTGACTTCATCTCCTTTGCCAACCTGAAGCTCTCCTTCACAGGACGTGTCTATAGATGCTGGTTTAAAATCATCTAAAGATAAAGGAAAAGACCAGGTTATAAGAATAAGGGATTCCTGGACATTTTCATTTAAAAATTAATTTTTTTTTCTTCTTTTATTTTTTGAGGTACTGGGGATTGGACCCACAACCTTGCGCATGCTAGCCAAGCACTCTACCAAMGAGCTATTCCCCTAGTCCTTTTTTATTTTATTTTGAGACAAGGTCTTGCTAAGTTGCCTAGGCTGGCCTCAAATTTGTGATTTTCCTGCCTCAGCCTCCTTAGTCACTGGGATTACAGATGTGAACCAMCACCTGCTCAGCTAAGAATTAAAATTTTTATTACATACATGGAAAGCAAAAATCATTTAGAATTCTTTAAAAACCATTTTATTATGGAAAACTTCACTTTGCAAAAATAGAGAGAAAAGTACAATAAACCCACAAGTACCTTCATTCAGCTTCAATAATTACTATCTCAGAGACAATTCCATATACTTTTGCTCCAACCCCCATATGATTATATTGGGCAGGGGGTAAAGGGGCCTAAACCATTTCCTTCTCCCAAGGGACAGTTGAAAACCAATGCCTCATCATCCACAATAAGGTGTTTTATTAGGGTAAAGAAGATCAAAAGCAATGAAGCATATAAAAAAAATACTTGATTGTAAATCCTATATGAAAAAGGCCACAGCATCATAAAAGCTAATTCCATTTTGCATAGAAGCTGTCAGAATTTGCCACACTTGCTGGACACGGCAGTACACCCCTGTAATCCCAGTGACTCGGAAGGCTGAGAGGGGAAGACTGCAGATTCACAGCCAGCCTCAACAACTTAGTGAGGCTGTAAACCTAGTGAGACTGTCTCAAAAGAAAAAAGAACAAAAAGGGGGGGGGGCTGGGGATGTGGCTCACTGGATAAGTGCCCTTGGGTACAGTAACTTGTAACAACAACAACAAAAAAAATTTACTACACTCAATTCCATAACTTCTGTAGATATTCAGACCAGATAGATGGTTGGGCTGTATTTCCAAAGGTTATCCTGCTGATGTTTCTGAATCGCAGTTAAAGCACAACCCAAATAGCCATCTTACTTCACCTTTAACCCACAMTTGCATCAAACTGCAAGCCAGGAGTGTACATGAACATTTCCCTTCATTGGAGGAATAGATCAACTTAGCAAACTCAGGAAATGAAGGTTTAATCACATTCCCAATATCCTCTTCTCTTTGAAAGGGCTGAATCTGCTATCAGTAAGAAGCACAGAAATGGCACAGCAAGAGGCCRCACAAAAGATGGAACTTCATTTTCTAACACACCCTCTTCCTATGTGTTGAGTCACATCTATTAGTTCCTCTGATGAAAACAAGCCTCAACCAATGTTAGYACTACAGGAAACCAGAAGCATGTGAATCACAGGGGGATGCTCAGTCAGCCAATTCCTAACAGCCAAATCTTCACCCAGGACAGAATATAAGTACCCCTTCTCAACAGTCTATAATCACAGAGAAGAAGGTCCAGCATAATGACTATTTCCACATTCTTTATGTCTGCTCTATTCTGTTTCCAAACATAGATCCAACCTTAACCTATGCCAGGTTCACAAATTCTAATTTTATTCTTCTCCACAAGGGACCTGGTCCAGAAACCAGAGTGGTGCGGGTGACCTCAAAAGACATCAGTTTAAAGGCACGAAAAGGCGTGGAAGTCGGGGGTGGCACGACGGATCTGACAGGGCGCAGAAAGGATGCAGATTCCTTGGTTGAAGTGGAGACACAGCAAAGTGTCAGGGTGACTAAAACCAAGACAGAAGAGGGTGGGAAAGCTGAAGAAAGCAGAGAACAGAATGAAACTGAAAGAAGCAAATGAGGCTTACAGCAAACGAGAAATCTTTTAAATATGCAGCCCCCCCCCCCACCACCACCACCATCACCTCTAGGATAATAGAAAGGGAAAAGGATTCGAGGGAGAAGTTCGGTTTGGGAGTTGGGTCTAGAGGATGAAACAAGAAAGAGGCCAGTAACCTTCGGGGTTCATGTTTAGGATTATAAGGTAAATGAACATTTGGGAGTGACGAAAGATTTTTGTTCCGGAGGAGTAATCCAGAAAAGAAAAGAAAAAAGAAAAAGAATGAAAGGAGCAAATCGGGGTCCCAGAGGATCTAGGGTAAAAGAGGGGGGAACTGACGCTGGCAGGGAAGTCCCTGGACCCCGGAGGGCCGAAGGAAGAAAGGAGGGAGCCGAGGATGGCATGTGGCGACTGGTGTGCTGACTTACAGCGGATGGTGTGGAAGGAGGCCCGTGGCCGCTTTTCGAAGCTCTCCCCGAGCCGCAGGCAATGCTCCTCGCGATCCAGCAGCGGGTTCGCGGTCCCGTTCATGGCCCCGCACCAGCCTCGCGCCCAGATCGGTTCTTTCTTGGCGCGGCCCCAGCACGAGCTCCCGGCACTGGTGCCCGGGAGGACGGTGCTCCCGGAACACAGCTCCGGAGCGCACGGATAGCCAAGCCGCCGCCCACCTGGGACCGGAAACGAGTCTCTGTGTCGGGACCCGGGAAGACTCTGAGGAAGCAAAGCCGCAGGACTTCCGGCGTTTGGTAGGTACTTCCGGGTTCCTAGCGGAAGTAGCAGAGGTGGTGCCGTGGTAAGAGAAGTCCGCCGGGAAAATCCTAATTCGAAGTTCTCCTAGCTGGTTAATGAATGCTCAGGATGTTTCGCCGCGGTTCCCGAATTCTATCTTCGAAGCCCGTGCTTGGCTGAGGGGTGAGTGTGCCCTGCCCTACCCTCTAGGTGAGTCAGGGAACCGATGGCGGTCGAGCCCAGAGCGTGGAGAATTAGGTTAACTTGAGTCTCATAGCTAATGTGGGCCGCTCTCCTCAGGTCCTTAGTGACACGTGCGGCCTAGTTTATCCCGAGTGTCCTGCGAGAGATGGGTCCTCGGGACATTAACCACGTGTCCTTGGGTCACTACCCCTACTTGGCGCCGCGATGGCGGTGAGAGGGCTTTGGTCCCCTAGAAAGCGCGACTCCCTCTGATTCCTGCGGCAGCTTCTTGTGATTGCGGTCAGAGCTTAGCTCTGTGTCCTCCCTGAAAGCCTGTCTCCGACCCTAAGGAAGCGCCGATCCTGCTTCTGTTGGGCGATTGACCACCCGCTTTCAGTCCGGGCAACTGTTGTGGTTGTTTTTTTAAGTCACGCCTTTGACCGGCACCGAAGATGGATGAGTATTTTCTTTTCAAGGTTTCTCAGTCTATTCATGGGGGTGTTCTTTTTCTGAACCAAACCGACTTATTGTGATAAATAGTTGACTCATTCCGGTTTGAATTAGAGTTCGGCGCGTGAAACCGTCCTGGCTACTGAATGTAAGTCCTCTGAAGGTAGAAACTGTGTCTTGATCTTCTTTGTGACCTCTCCTCCTTTAGGGGGCAGGGTTTTGTGTAGAGACAGCATCTGGTGTTTGATGAATGGAACCCAGCCTCTGAAAGTACTATTTTAGAACCATCGACCCTGCTAAAGAGCTCTAGAACCCCTAATGAGCTTTTTTTTTTTTTCCTTCCTCTAGGAAGCACCGTGTTTGATAAATAGAACCCAGCGTCTCCAACAACTATTATAGAGCCGGGTGCAGTTGCACACCCTTATAATATCATCTACTCAGGAGGCTGAGGCAGGAGGATCACAATTTGGAGGCCAGCCTTAGCAATTTAAAACATAAGAAAGGCTGGGGGTGTGACTCGGTGCTTAAGCACCCTTATGTTCTATCCCCTGGTACCAGGGGAAAAAAAAAAAAAAAGGAACTATTGTAGAACCACTAACTCTGCATTCTAAAGAATTGCTCTAGAACTCCTAGTGGGAATTTCATTCTTTTTTGTATGAAGCACCGTAGGCCTGAAGAGAACCCATCTGAGAAAACCCTGTGTCTTCAGTGTCAATATGGATTTCTCAAATTATTCAAGGATGGAGAATCTTCATTAGTGTTAAATGCATTGCCACCAACATATGAGATGGCCTCATCACAAAGGAAAGGACTACAGGCAAGAATTCTCAGTTCTGAAGAAGAGGAGAAACTGAAAAGAGACCAAATTTTGGTGTCTGATTTTAAACAACAAAAACTGGAAAAAGATGCTCAGAAGAACTGGGACCTTTTTTACAAAAGAAATACTACCAATTTTTTCAAAGATAGACACTGGACCACCAGAGAGTTTGAGGAGCTAAGATTATGTAGGGAGGTAAGCTAATATTTCACCTTATCCTGAACTGTTCTTCATTTGGAACAGGTGTGTGGAAGAGGGGTGCTTTATTGCATTCCTGAAAGCAGTGTGAAATAGAAAATTTACAGTCTATCAAAATGCTTGGTACCTTAGGAAAGAAATATGTATTTGGTCTGTAGTTTTAGCAATTTTCAGCTAACGTTTAGAAGAGAGGCCATGCGTAGATTTTTTTTTTAAGGCTACTCTGAAAGTTGTAAACATTAAATATTCATTTGTACTGAGTGAATTTAGTGACAAATTGAAAATAATAGCAATTAGTGAACTATTTATTATGGCTCTTTTTCTAAGAAGACTTGTTTTCTCAAACTTTATACTAAATCAGTGAAGTGCATTGTTATTCCCATTTGTATGTAAAGTTGAGGCACAGAGCTATTGAAGTGATTGCCCAAGGATAGACTGCTGGGGCAGAGGAGGATTTGGGGTTTGAGTGCCCATGGTTTAGCTTCAAAACCTGTTCAGTTAGCCAGTATATTGGGTTTTTTTCTGCACAGCCTGCCCAATGTTGGATGATGATATGTGAGGTACCGGTATGAACTTTTATTAGTTCTGTTGTTTATCATCTGTTCAGTGAGATGAAAGACTTTGTCGCTCACATTCTGGGCCTTTTAGTTTGGTTTATTTCTTCATTATTCAAATATAATGTATTATAACTTTGGGTTCTCTTTCACCAGTTTGAAGGCCAAAAATTAACCATGCTTGAAGCTGGTTGTGGGGTTGGAAATTGTTTATTCCCGCTTTTAGAAGAAGATATGAATATCTTTGCCTATGCCTGTGATTTTTCTCCAAGAGCAGTTGAATTTGTTAAGGTTGGTATACCATCTATGTGTTTTGCTATGTTTCTGTTTTCTTTTGTATTTGACCTGCTCTTTGCATCCATTTGCCTAGTTGCAGTTCTCTTTCCAGTCCTCTCTCTGATGCTGATCACTGTGAATGTAATTTTCCTTTTACATACATATGCAACATGTATAAAAATACATCTCTATTCAAGAAAAGTAAATACTTTACACCTGCTGTATAAACTTTTTCTTTGCTGAACTATTCTAAAGTGAATTACAAACGTCAAGACTCACTCCTAAATTTGTCTCCCAAAAATAAGGCCTTTTTTAAAAAATATAACCACAGTTAGCTTATATCCAGCAAAAATAACATTAATTCCCTAATGTCTTTAATACCTATCCCAGATTCAAATTTCCCCAAGTAGGTCCAAGTTATCTTTTTTTTTTTTCAGTTTATTTTTTTAGGTATAGATGGACATAACACAATGCCTTTATTTTTATGTGGTGCTGAGAATCGAACCCACTTCCCACCCGTGCTAGGTGTGCGCTCTACCACTGAGCCACAATCCCAGCCCCCCAAGTTATCTTATATAGCTATTTTCAATCCAGTCACAAACTACCTCTTACACTTCCCTTATGTCATTTAAATCTCCTTAGCTTAAAATGCTCCTGTCTTCCTTCCTGAACTATGATTTTTCCCACTGAGTTTTTGGAGATATCAAGTCAATTTTCTATATTAAGGCCTTAGGTTCCAAGTTGGTCTGATTGTTTCTTGGTATTATTGTTTAATTTGTTCCTTCTATCCTCTATATTTCATGTAAACTAAAAGTTAGGTTTAAATCAGGTAAAATTTGGGTGCATAAATTTATTTATTTATTTATTTATTTTTGTATTTTTAATTGTGAATTTTATTTATTTATATGCAGTGCTGAGATTTGAACCCAGGGCCTCACACATGCCAGGCAAGTGCTCTACCACTGAGCCACAACTCCAGCCACGCATAAATATATTTATAGGTGATATTGTATTTTGCATATTGCATCCTGTCAAGGGATAATATCTGGTGATCTCCTTACAAGCTGTAGTAGTCGTCTTACTCCCTAGGTTAAGGTAGCAATGCCTAATTCCCCTACTATAAGAATATTTTCCTTTTGCCATTAACAAATATGTGGGGGGCACTTTGACAACATGCACAACAAACCTTTTGCAGTTTTAACATCCATTAGATCTTTAATAGTTGTAGATAGTGTCATATTTAATGTAACTTGATTTTTTTCCCTCTACATTATTATGTCTTAGTTTTTCATGTTATTACATGTAGATTACCACATTATACACATATCTGTTATAAAATTCCATAAAATGGATAGATATACTTACATAATAGTTACCTTGTTGTTATTCATCATTTATATCATTTCTAATTTTTTCTCTTACAAATAGGGGGTTTATGTGATGGGTATCAAACATGTGATTCCCAAAACATGTGTATACATTTCTCTGTGATGGACAATGGAAGAAGTAGAATTTTTTGGAAGAAGAATAAGCACATTTAAATTTTTATAGCTACTACCAGGATTTCTTCCAAAAAAATCATACCAATTTATAATTTCACCAATAATTTAAAGATACCATTTTCTCTATTCTCTCAATATTTGTTTTCTGTCTTTTATTTTTGTCAATCTTTGGGCAAAAAGTAATGTCCCCATGTTTTGTTCTTTATTACCAAAGATATTGAAGACCTTGCAATATGTAAATATATTTTTTTTTCTGCCATGAAATAAAAAGTACGTATCTTTTGCTGTTACCTCATAGCTCTTAAATGTTGTTTGGGTTCCCCCCCCCCAACTTTATTCTTCCTTGCATTTTCAGTTTGTATAATTTCTATCATCTGTCATTAAGTTCACTGATTCTTTCCTAAACAGCAGGTGTTCCTACTGATGAACTTGTCGGAAGCATAATTATTCATTTTCTTGTCCATGTTTTTGGTTTGGGGCATTTATATTTGAGTTTCCATTAGTAAAATTACCTACCTAATCTTGCACATGGTCTATCTTTTCCATTAGAGCCTTTAACATTTTAATCATAGTTATTTTAAATACCCAGACTTTTAGTTCCATCATCTATGTCATGTTTGAGTCTAGCTCTAAAGATTGCTTTCTTCAGAATGTTTTTCCTTGTCTTTGGTATGCCTTGTACTTCTTTCTTGAAGCTGGACATATTGGGGCAGGAGATACTGAGGTAATAGGAATTTGTAATAATCTAGCCAGGAGCTGGGGTGTGTTTGAAGCTGTAGCTATAGTTACTTGTGAGGTTTGTTGTTGCTATGGGCACCAGACTTAAAACCCTCTGGTGGCTTGCCTTTGGATATTCCCCTATCCTTTTCCCCAAATAGAGTCTGTCTCTCCCACTTTCCTGGATATTATTATTTGGGACTTCTTGGTGGGCCATGGGAGAGAGTATTATTATTCACTAATGCCACTCCGAGGTGCGCCTGTGTCTCAATGGTATGACTTTCATATGTGTTTCTACTTACAGCTTTTCTTATCCATCGCTCTCCCAGCTGCAAGATGTATCTACCAATGTCCCCTCTTGATCTTGAGGCTGTTCTCCATGCAGACTGATTGGATTAGGGCTGAGTGGTTCTGTTGCCCCAGCTGCAGAAGTATTCTATAGTGTCCTTAGGTTGTAGGCCTCAGGTGACCTTTTCATGCAGATTCAGCATTTTCTTCCTTAAAGGATATGAGAAAAACTACCACCAGAAAGCACCATCCTTTCCTTGAGAGCCTAGCACTATTACCCCTTTAGAGGGCTGGAAACAGTTCTATATTTTCACATTCCAGTGCCTGCTTTTGGTCTCTAGCAATTTGCCAAATTTCTAGTTTTGTCTGTCTAGGTAGAGGGCTTTTGCCTCAGGTAAGCCAGTGCTTGGGTCTTGTGTCTGCCTGATAAAAATACATCTTTCTCCAGATTTTGGGCTGGTGGGTTCTGTGATCTCTGTCCTTTGATGGGTTCACAAAAATCATTTTTTTTTTTTTTCTCTTTCCAGCTATTTTCTTGTAAGGGCAGGAGCTGTGACTTCCCACTTCTGTGTATCTCTGAGCTAAAACTAAAAGTTGTAACACTAACTGAATGAGAAATTCATTTTCCTACTCTGATAATTATCACCTTCTTTATCTTTTTATCTTAATTGTTACATTTGTCATGTAAATGTTAAACTCTCCCACACACAGGTGTTTGGGGACTTTATTCTGTCTCGGTGATCTCCTCCTCAAACCGCATTGTTTTATTATTACTACATTTTGCAATATGTTTTGATGTTCCATGGTGTGTCTCCTTTTTTATTTTAAAAATTGACTTTTGCTTCCAGATAAAATAGATTTACCTTGGTAAGTTTCTATAAGTCTATTGGAATTTGGTTGAGATTGCATTGGATCTATAGGTGGAATTATGAATAGAATTGACATGTTTTCAATATTGAATTTTCCCTTCCAGTAACTTTATGTATCTATCTAATCAGGTCCTCATTTATATGGAGGAACAACTTTAATATTTTTCATGTGTTGAAGCCCGCCAACCAGAATATACCAGGAACATACTTGTAGCAGAAAAAAGAAAAAAAAATTGAGTTTTCTTCATCAAAGGAAAATATGCTCCAGAAGAGCTGTGGGAGCCTCCCAAGAAGGGGAATTGGAAGGCTTCCCACAGGATTTAGGCTTAAAGGGGATGATTCAGAGGATTAAGGAAGCACAGATCAATTTTATATTATCATCCCTCTGCAAGTACACATTTCTGAAATGCTCAGTTTTGAACAAGTGATAGACTATATTCTCTCCTCAATTAAAAATGATTTGTTAAAATGATACCTTGCCTCTTGTTCTGAATAATGATGCTTTACATGGTTTTATCCAGTAAGAAGAGCTGGTTTTATTTCCGTGTAGCAGTACGCAGATAGAAATAGGATCTTCTTTTGATGGTATATGTTTTGTATATGTCAGCATGGCGGTTGCATTAAAATTCTTTTTTTGCTTTTTTCCCTCTCTAGCAAAATCCTTTATATAACACTGAGAGATGCCAGGTATTCCAGTGTGATCTCACTAAAGATGACCTTCTGGATCACGTACCACCAGAATCTGTGGACGTTGTCATGTTGATATTTGTGCTCTCAGCCATTCACCCTGATAAGATGCACCTTGTTTTACAAAACATTTACAAGGTTAGTGGTATGGGGTCTGTACTTGAAGGTTGGACATCCAGATCCCCAGGTTTACCTTCCCTCTGAGGTTCGTGTACTGTTGAGAGTCACAGGCTCTTCATTCTCACTATGTAGATTGTGTTTTCAGCATATGAAAAGGGACTCTCTGGCATAAAATACCCACCATAACTTTGGATTTGTTCAGTGCTGTGACTGTTCTTAGAGTTTGGCCAGCCCTAGAGCAAGGATAATTTTGAGATCTGTGGAGGTGAGAGGAATAAGAAGTTCAGTGGATGCGAAGTTAAGAATGCCTAGACACAAAACCTGGTTTTACCACTTAGGCAAGTTCCTTCACCCCTGTTTCTTTACCTGTGAATGTTGAAGTAATAGCTCCAAGATTTAGGATTTGAGGAAGATTGGATGAGATGGGTATAAAGTACTTAGCACAATGCCTAGAACATGGTAAGCCTCTTTAAAAGTCAGCCATTAGGATGTTGCTGCTGTCATTATTGTTAGTAAAGTGGGAAGAATCCAAGCTGCTATTGCTATCAGGAGGCTGCTGTAGCACTCAGGAAGTAAAGATTCACTCATGAAGTCATGTGTCTTAAGACAAGCCATCTGCCATCTCTGAACCTCAGTTTCCTTGTCTGTAAAATGGGAGTGTCTCACAGAGATGAAGGTGACATCATGAATCTGTCCACTTTATAAACTATAGTGGAAACTTACCTATTATAAACAATTTGTTGCAGTGTTGGTTAGCTTTAAAAATCAGTTAAACCAAGAAATCTTTAAAAGTGTTAAACATTTTATTATATATTAAAATGTAGGGGCTGGGGATATAACTCATTTGGTAGAGTGCTTGCCTTGCATGCACAAAACCCTGGGTTCAATCCCCAGCACGCACACAAAAGTGTGAGTTTTCATCCTCACATCACTCCTGGTGGAGGGCCAAGGCCCTTTTTTAAGGTATGGATGGACCATTAATCATTTACATAAACCACATATAATATTTTTAGTGTTTTTAATTATTTCGGGAGGGTGGGGTGGTACTAGGGATTGAGCCCAGGGGATATTTACACTGAGCTACATCCCCAGCCCTTTTTGGTTTTTATTTGGAGACAGGATCTCACAGAGGCTGCCTTTGAACTTGGCAATCCTTTTTCAGCCTCCCAAGCAGCTGGGATTGACCATGCACCACCACACCTGGCAGTTTTAGTGACTCTAAAAGTGGAATAATAAGCCTGGCACAGTGGCACAAGCCTATAATTTCAGCTACTGGGGAAGCTGAAACAGAAGAATTACAAGTTTGAGGCCAGCCTGGGCAACTTAGCAAGATCCTGTCTCAAACAAAAAAGGGCTAGGGATGTAGCCCAGTGGTAGAGTGCTTGCCTAGCATGTGTTAGGCCCTGAGTTCAATCCCCAGTACCAAAAAACAAAAAACAAAAAACGGTGAAGCGCAAGAACTTAAAAGAATTGGAAAGTAATCTAAGGGCAGATTCTATTGTTTTTATCCAGAGTTTCTCACACCTAATTGTGAAAGTTTGTTCAGCATTTCTTTATCAAGTCTTTTCAAAATGATCTTCTTTTATGGAACATTTAAGTGCTTCCTATTCGTGTACATATTTCATTGTTATATATTCAAGTTACAGAATTATAATCTAAGTATTACTGGCCTAAGCAAGTTTGGGAACAAAAACAAGTGACCAGTGCAAGTGTGCAGCTCACAGCAGGTGTGGGGAGTTGCTAAAGTGCAGGAGCATGTGCTCTGCAAAGTCCACAGCCTGCATCATTCAGGAAGTCACAAGCCACAATCACTCTGCATTCAGATGGATATGAGATCAGTCAGCAAGTTGAGGAAGCTAGATGTTGAGTAAGAGAACTTCATTGAACTACACTGAAATTGGGGGCTTAACCACTGAGCCACATTCACAGCCCTTTTTCATATCTTATTTAGAGGCAGGGTCTTGCTGAGTTGCTTAGGGTCTCGCTAAGTTGCTGAAGCTGCCCTTGAACTCAGATCCTCCTGCCCCAGCCTTCCGAGCCAGGAGGATTATAGGCATGCACCACTGTGCTTGGCTCCTGGTATTAACTTGTAAAATTAGTATAAGATAGAAGTCACTATAAAACTAGAAGTCACTAGAAACCTATTAGGGAATTATTCTCCCTTATTTTTAAACATTTAGATCTCTGCACAACAATATTAGCCCCCTCCTTATGAGTTTTGTGAGTTTTTTTTCTTCCTTATTTCTACTCTCTCTGCCCCTGGTATCTGAACAGGTGAGAATTCAAAATGCTCCAGAACCTGGAACTTAAGCTAAAGAGGCAAAAAAAAAAAAAAAAAAAAGCATCAGGGAAAACATGCTAGGAAATACCTGATTTGGAGGGTCAGGTGAGGGTGAAGGGTTATTGACATTGGAAACTACAGAGAAAACAGGAGAAGATGAGGAGCTTGAACAGAGTGACTTGTCCTAATTGAAAGTTTTTAGTTTGTTTTGTTTTTGTTTTTGGTACTAGGTATTGAACGCAGGGGTGCTTTAACACTGAGCTATATTCCCAGCCCTCTTTTTTTTTTTTCAATTTTGTGTTGGGGTCTCACTAAGTTGCTGAGGCTGGCCTGAAACTTGCCATCCTCTTACCTTAGTTTCCTGAGTCACTGGAATTACAGGAGTGTGCCACCACACATGGCTGGGTTATACTACTTGGTATTAACAAAGCATATTAGACATTACTGAGGGAGTAAATGGTATAGATAGGGTGGAGGACAAGATCTCAAGAAGAGAGAAGCCCAAATTGTGAAGAGGTCAGCATATTTGGAAAGATAATCCACATGTATATTGAAATTGACCAGAATTAAAAGTGGAATAGCATTCAGATAATACAATAAACCAGAAAATACATTCCTCACAAAATGGAGGGAAATGACTCTGGAATCAATAGATGACTCAAGAAAAGATAGTAAGTGATACAAGGAGAAAGAAGAATTCACAGAAAATAGCAAGGCCTTGTGTTGGTACAAAGGTGATGGGAGAAAACAGCCTAACTTGAAAGGGGATGGTCAGGATTCTTAGAGAACAAGAATATGAAGGCTCTATTCAAAAGAGGTGATGGTGCTATATCAGGGATTTCATGAATGAAAGGTTTTCAGTATTAGGGAGGACTTGGGGATATAGATAGGGGGCATACAGTCGTGTCACTTAACAAAATTCAATTTTATTATTGTGTAAAGTATACATTGAGTACATAGATGTTACAACTACTACACACCTAAACTTCATGGTATATATTTATATAAGCCTGTTGTTCCTTGGGCCACCAATAAACAAAATAATACATGATTCAATCAAGCACAAGAGAAAAATGATGCATTCAAGAGACACAGTAAACAAGATATGTGAGACTGCTGCTACAGGTTTTTGTGGGATTTTGTTATTGTTTTGGTTCTGAGGATTGAACCCAGAGGCACTTAACCACTATGCTACATCCCCAGACCTTTTATATATTTTATTTAGAGATAGTCTCACAAAGTTGCTTAGGGACTTACTAATTGCTGACTCTATCTTTGAATTCATGATCCTCCTGCCTCAGCCTCTAAGCTTACAGACATGTTCCACCATACCCAACTGATGCTGCAGTTTTGAAATAAACTTTTTTTTTCAATTTTTTATTTGTTCTTTTTAGTTATACATGACAGTAGAATATATTTTGACATATCATACATACATGAAATATGACTTCCCATTCTTGTGGTTGTATCTGATATGGAGTTACACTGGTTACACATAGGAAAGTTTATGTACCACATTTTCTTTATCCATTCATCTATTTAAGGGCAAATTTTAAGTCATCTGGGTATATGCCAAAGAGTGGGATAACTGAGTCAAAAGGTGTTTCATTCCAAGTTTTCTTAAGAATCACCATACTGCTTTCCAGAGTGATTGTACCAATTTGCAGTCCCACCAGCAATGTATGTTAAGCTTTTTTTAATAAGTAGAAGGAATATATTCTAAAATGAAAAGAAATACAACATAATATGATTTGAATGCGGATCAAGTGTGTTCTCCCAATGGTTCATGTATTAGAAGCTTGGCTCCCTGTGTGGCAATATGAAAAATAGTGGAACCCTTGAAATAGGACCAATTAAAAGGTCCTTTGGTCATTTAGGGCTTCCCCTCAGAAAGGATTGAGGCAGTTCTTGTTGGATATTTGGTTAATTCTCTTAAAAGATTTGTTAAATAGAGAGAAAGCCTTGCTCCTCCTGCACTCTGGTTTCCCGTCTCGCTGTGAGATCTCTTTCACACATGTTCTTCTGCCATCCAAAATTCAGAGCTGATTCCAGGATCATGCCCTTGAATCTCTATAACTGTGAACTAACTAAATAAACATTTTTTTAAATAAAGCTTCCCACCTCAAGTATTTCACTGAAGTAATGAAAAACAGACCAAGACATGTGGTTAAAACATAAACAATCATTAAGTGTTGTGTACTGTACATAATTGCATGTGCTATACTTTTATACAGCTGGCAGTGTAGTATGTTTCTTTATACCAGCATCACCACAAATAGCATAATATGTTGTGCTGTGACTATGACAGCTATGATGTCACTAGGTAATGGGAATTTTTCAGCTCCATTTTAATTTTGTAAGACCACTGTCATATACGTAATCCATTGTTGACCAAAAATTCCTTACATGACATGTGACTATACTTCTACTCAACATTGTACTGGAGGTGCTAATCAGCTCAAAAATATAAGATTTGATGTAAAAATTTGGGGCTGGGGAAATAGTTCATTTGGTAGAGTGCTTGCTTAGCACGCTCTGGGTTCAATTCCCAGCACCACCAAAAAAAAAAAAAAAAGACCCTAATTTAAAAATTTGAGAATGAAAAAGAAATTTGTTACTTGTAGAAATTATAAATTCTAATTTTCTAATCAAAAACTATTAGAACAGCCGGGTGTGGTGGTACGTACCTGTAATCCTAGCTATTTGAGAGGCTGAGGCAGGAGGATCGCAAGTTTGA